TCCTTTCGTTGAAGGGTCGATTTAAAAATTAGCACTGGTTGCGTTTCGTTTAATACGTTTTGACGAGCTTACCTACATTGACATACTTACACCCTACTGCTGAAGAAAAAAAAAGGAATTTAAGTGAAATGGCACCTAAAATATACTCTCTTTTTTTGGATGATTAGAAAATGTTTTTTTTTTTTTACCACACTGTTTCCTTTTTTTTTTTATGAAATTTTTAATGAGAACAACATCTAAACTTTCCAACATGAAAATACAAAAATCAACAAGCACGTCTATGCAGCCATTTTTTTCTAAATCTGATTCCCCAGTCAGAGGATAACTCCACAAAGGCCAAAATTTTGCTTCCATTTGCAAGCAACACATTTGCAAGTTTAAAAGGAGAGAAAAAAAACAACAACAGAAATAAGAGAAAAACTACAAAGACAATGTTTTTTAACCTTCCTCGGCAGCATAAACACGCAGCTCTTTAGGCTACCTCTCATGTACCGTTTCTTTCGTCCCCGACCAAGTGAATTCGCTTAAAACTTTCTTCGTGTATCTATTTTGAAGTATACTCGGAGTCGTGTTAGGGTTCGCGTGGTGTAGGTACATAGAACAGCCATGGGTACACCTAAGAAGGACTGGACAATGTTTGCCAACCGATACCCTTCGACGGGTGTGACTCGCTTTCGCCACGCAAAGCAGCCTTTGAAGCTCCGGTCGACACGACCAAGTGCAAGCTCGATTTTCAATCACCAAGTTACGTAAATTGTGTTTAATAAATCATCTTTGGCTCGCACGTGTTTGATATTCTGTGATATGATTTCAAAGTGATTCAAACCTGGTAAAGAAATACAAAACGCCCCACTTTTTTCGACATCAAATCACTTGGTTTTACCATAGCAATATACCTATGTCACAAAACGCAGATTGATAGATTGCACAATTACGTGGTACGTGACGATGCTACGTTCGTCTCGTTACGAGCACAAAGCCAGGCCATTTCATTTGCTAATTCACATGTACTGTGTAGATATAACAATAAAGACAAAACTCCGTGTGGCCTGATTTATGTACAGTACAGTAGCAAAGCTCCGGTCGTTCTAGGCTGTTGCGGTTCGTATAGCCGTTTGGTTTTGTTACGCCAACTGGGCATGTTTTATCCAACGGGATGCATCCCTGAGTCCGTCGATCAAATTAGAGGCACCCCCGAATCTTTTACCATTAGCTGGCTGTCCCACTGGGAGAATCTAAACAGTGCCGAGTCTTGGACAGTAGTATGAAGAAAAAAAAAAAAAAACTTTGGATGTAGTAAAAAAAACCAAAAAGAATTTTGATACAAAAGCGAAACGGTTCGCGTGCCCCGAACAGATTTCCCGGGGCATCCCCTATTTTTTTTCCATCGGCAAACCAAAGGCACGCTCCATGTACCGCCCCGACGAGCGGATCCCCCGAACAAACGGAAGCTCAGCCGAGTCGAGAAATGGAAACAAATCGTTATGCCACCCGTGCACGTATATATATAAAAGCCAGCTTGGAGAAAACCATGGCGCGTTGAAGCGCCGAAAAACGGCAAGCTGCAAGCGTTTTCCCGTCGCTCGCTCGCAATGGCTTCGACGAGTACAACTATCCCCCTATAGCTGAGAAATTCCTTGACGCTCCTCTCCCCCATTTTACTGGGGGCGCTTCGCGCATTCGTCCCATCCCCTTACCGTATAGGCTACGAAAGCGCCAGACCACCGAGAGAACACCTTTTGCACCCTTGGCACTTTTTTTGGGGATTAATGACTCGTTGGGCCAATTGCTGACACACGCTACTGTATATTTACACGGTGCACCCATTGCAACACCCGAATCGAGTTTAACGAATTCAGGCGACGAAAAGATTTTAGCGCAGCAGTGAATGCACGTATATAATTATATATGTGTCTCTGTGTATGTGTGTGTGTGTGTGTGTGTGTGTGTGTGTGTGTGTGTGTGTGTGTGTATACAGTCCTCGCAATCTTTATAGAGTACGACGAAACGCAGGGGGCAGACGTTGTGTCCGCAGCTTGCGTGTATTTTTCCATTTCCTCGCTGCGCTTGGGAGAAAGGGGGATGGAGACAATGCGTCAGCGGGAAATGGCCGAATAAAGGAAATAAGCGACGGTAAGGAAAGACGTCGTCTTTTTTTTCTTTTTTTTTTTTTTTCATACGGAGAACGAAAATAGAGACAGGCTTTTTTTTGCAAAACAGATCGAGTCTTTCAAAGGAACAGCGTGACCAAAGAGGGAGGGGATAGTTGGTAGTGGAAACATTCTGATATTCTGTCGAAGCTGTAAAAAAAACGGAGCATCATGTGGGGCAGAAAGGGAAGCTTTTTTTTATAAACATTGTTTAAATTTATTAAAGTTGCTTCGTTTGAAGCCAATACTTTCAATCCTATGAGTGACCATTGAAAAGAAAAAAATTTGTTTTCCACCTCTTGGCTCACACGAATGTGATGTTTTTCACATCGATCGTTCCCTCTTTTATTCAGATCTGTTTGTGTTTGCTCAAACGGTGGTTCCAGATTGGCCTCTCAGCTTCTCCGAGCCCGACAAATGAGCTTCTCATAACAAGTGTCGACAGCAAAGACGCCTACATCGAGCATAAAAGTGCGTTATTATGACATTTAGATTAAACGCTGTAGGTTTGGCAAAGGCTGCTTTACCCCTTGGCAGCAAAGCCAATTCGTTTTTAATTGCGTCGAGCTAGCGACCGAGAAACGAGTTCCTCGAACGTAAGTTCACGGTATGCATATAGAAGTAATATTCTACCCTTAACGAGGTAGATCTTTTCATTAGAGATGTGGAAAAATATACTGAGTCAATAATTTGTATGAAAGGTTGACACACTGGGATCATAAAACGAAAAAATTTCCTCAACTAGGAAACGTTTTAATGGCAGCCTTGTCACGCGGAAGGAAAATTCGGCTCATTTATCATCGAGCCGCAAGCAAAGCGGATTATTTCAAGCCAAGTTTCGCTCTGTTATAGGGTGGCAGAGTGTATACCGGGGAGTACACAATAATCCCTTGCCTCCGAACTATGCTTTGCGGTCGGTAGCTCAAAATACCCTGATGGTGTACACGATAGAACGAATTTTCGTTTCTTGCGCGTATACGTGTACAAAAAAAGTCCAAGTAGCAAAAAAAGAGAAATAATGTAATCTCCCAAGTCGCTAGTGTACGTGCAATTATTCACGTTCGCAGGTCCTGTCCAAACGTAAATTTGTTCCTGTTACCTTGAGCGCACGCATTTCGCGATTATCAGTCCTACAGAGCCGAGTAAATAATTGCCCCGCGCTCGAGCCGCGTTAGCTTGATTCATGTAATTGGTATACTTATTCGCCTTCCCCCATCCCTCTCTGAACTCATATGCATGTATACACGTCTTCCAGAGAGAGAGAGAGAGAGAGACATCCCGTAATTTGTATGCATAAGTAATCGTGCTCACGCGCGTCTATAGGGTATAAACATACATTCGCCTGATCGTTGTGTATGACTGGCTTATACCCCGCACGCGATATAATACACACATATATATATATATATATATTTACCTAACCGTGAAGTGAATGGGGGGTAGTCGCGTAATTCGATTAGGAGTGAGCTTGGTAATTGTTGACGTGGAAACACAAAATGAGGCTGGATACGTATATGTATACGCGTGTGTGCGTGTTTGCGGGCGTACAAGTAAGGACAGGAGAAGGAAGAGGGTGCCTCGAGTCGGAAAGTCTGGGGGGCGTGTACACGTATATTATAATTATGGTGTACCTTTAAACATCGGGTGTTCGTCAAGGAAAGCTTTTGCGGGTGTTTGTATTTTTTTTTATATTTTTCTGCTTTTCTCGCGGGGAACGAAAATAATGTGTTTATATATTTGCTGCATAAGTATTGTCTGTTTTTTGATGAGAATTGATATTTCTTTTCTCTGCGTCGCGAGCACCACAAATTGAGATTCATCACTTGGGAGTGGCCCGTACGATGTACATATAAATATTACCTAAAATTCACTAGATTGTCAGTACTTTGTCAAAAAGACAAAAAGCTCGACCAAACGAATAGTACAATGTGCCCAAGAGAAGATTCGCATTACTACTTATATTAAAATACTCGCGAGTACGATCGATGACAGACTGGAATTACACCGGCGAATGAACGAGCAACAACCCACCGAGTGGGCGCATTTTTATGGTAAAAATCGACCAAAGGCTCGCCAACACTCGAACCTTTTGTATTATACCGACGAACAAACATTTGTCACTTCCGAGCCATTGACGCTTCAAGCGAGCCAAAGCAGTTAATAGAGTGCGTCCGTGGGGGGTGGGGGGCGCTAGAGTTACCTCTAATGAAACCAGTTCTGCCTCGCAAAAAAAAAAAAAAAAAAAAAAAAAAAAAAAGGAGGGGGAAGTGCAAAAAGCACGCTTGGCAGTGACAGGTAAATCGCGACGGGGCAGACAATGGAGGCGAGGGAGATTGAAAATCCGCGTGGAGTATTTTTCTCGTGCTTCCGATCCCATCGGGGAGAGGCTTTAACGTCCGAGCAGAGCTTGGCTAACGCGTTAAAGTTGTTTTACACTCGCGTGGACGTGCCGATTAAACGGAAATTAGTTTTAGCTGGGCTTGCAGGCTCGACGGGTGCGTTACTATTCGGACCCCGATCCGCTTAGACGAAACTGGCTGCTATTGCGTTTCAAGCGACATGAAAATCTTAAACTTTGGTTATTTATGAACATGTCATCAAACACCGAATGGTAACAATAGAAAAAAAAAAATGCGTTTAGGTGAGTGACCTACGGGATATTGTGTGAGAGGCCCTGTTATTCGATTTTACAAAGATATCCGAGGTAGTAAATAAGCCAGGATTCGTCATAACAATGTCCTTTGGAATGTCATATAATAAACATAAAATGTGTGATTTAACGAGGAAAATCGTGCTTTTGCGTGTACGGCACATATATATTTATGATTTTGGTCATTCGTGTGCTTCCAGCCAAATTGGACGGCGTCAAGACTTACATGAGGATGAGGAGGGTGCCGAATCATTTGCAGGTCAAGGTCATCAAGTGGTTCGATTACCTCTGGCTGACGCAAAAGTGCTCGGACGAGGAGAAGGCTGTTAGCTGTTTGCCAGGTATGACTTTTCTCGGGCTATTTTTTTTTTTTTATACACAATGATGAAATCAGTGGTAACGCGAGTTATTCTTGAAACTTCTTTTTTTTTCCTGGTTTAAATTGGCAGTGCATTTAGAGTATGTGACATGTGTGTACCTACACTAAAAAATGACTGTTTACATGATTGTTTAATATTGACAACGACAATGTGTATTTAATAACTGATACGCACAGTATAAAGTACACATAAATGCGCATGCAACATACCGAAGAGCTGTACTAATTTCACGTATATAACTACCTCTTTGCTTTTGATTTAAAATATTTCAACCTTTTTATTGTACTTTAGTTTGAAAAGACCCTTGTTTGGGCTGACCCGATGATTTATCCTTTACAATCCATGTATATCCTTAAAACGCAAATTACACATCGCTAATTTTTAATTAAATTGCACAATCCACCGCACGGATGGTACTTACGGCGGAAGTGCTCAACTGTAGTTTTTGAATTAAATTGGGGTGTCCGACTCCGTCGCTTTGGACCTTTGACACTCGATGCTCTGAAAAAACATGTATATTACGTACTGTATAATTCTCGCTTTGCGCAGAGGACTCTAGGCAGGGATTTAGACGGTCTATGCGATTTATTCGCCATTTGGCTAATTTATGCAAATTAATTTATACGTACTCTCAAACGGCGCTTTGAACTCGCATTGAAAATTTGCCCTTTTTTTTTGCATCATCATAATTTATTTATTTTCAAGAATAATTTTTGAATCTGTACATCGACATGAATTTTAAAATTTCACACAATGATGAAACAACTGAAAAACTTTGAAATAAACTCGATAAATATTTACTTTTTATAAAATACAACAAATCGTAAAATTATACATTCAAAAGTGTTTTTGCATGCTTAAAATACTGTACAATATTATTCAAAACACCAATATTGTTCACAGCTAATACCAACAATCATAACAATTTTTCGTCCGAAATTCCAACCCGAGTATTAAACAAACAAAGCTGCATTGACAGAGCCACTCACTGGCTGTTCCTGAATGAAAAAAAAAAAAAAAAAAAAAAAAGTTATTCCATTACTCAAATTAATAGAAGCGAACAGTGTAATACACATTAACGCACACGGAGCTGAGACGCGGGCTGCGGCGCTAGCTATAATATACCCTCTGTATATAAATTGCACGAGTTTCCTCGCGAGGGATATCGCTCACGAGCCCGTAAACCGCAACGAAATATGATCAATTACGAGTACACGACCGCGTTCACGTATATATATAAACATGTAGACGCGCGTGCGAGCAGTGGCGTCGTAATTTCGACGGATCATCGTCCCCCTTGATGTGCTCACTGCCATATACATATACGTATACATATGCCATTACTGGTGCTCGTAAAAGAGACCGACGTAGCCTCGTAATTGCGAAATTTTTGAGATGCAGTCGGCTCGTAGCCGAGCTTGAGGCCATTAAGGGAGCCACGAGGAGCAGCCGCGTCGGTCTTAAAATTGAAAATTTTCCTGTCAAATGAACGAAATTCTTTTAATTTTACGGCATAGAGCAGGGGGTGAGATGTGCTTGTTATTTTTTGTCACAAAATTATCATTGCTTACGATGTAAAGTCAATCCATCGTGTCTTTTGTTTTAATATTTTTGATATAGTTAAATCAATTTCGTAGCAGCGATGCTTCTTTGGCAAAATTTTACAAAAATTAATCTTCCCACGTGGCGCATAAAACATATTTGAAAGGTACACCCAACAGTTTATTTCATTGGCAATTTAAGATATGAATTGAGGAACCAACTTACAAGTTGAAGGTAAAAACCTAAAGAGCAATCTCGCTAGTGCCCAAGCTGTTGTCAAGAGTAACGAAGCGTAAAAAAGCATGACCAAGTGTCAGCTAACTGAAATTCAATTGTTTGTCCGAGGCCTGTCCAACAAAATCAGATTTACGCAGCCAAGGAAAGCTTTTCTTTTTCTCCACGTTCCATTGAAAAAGTACATCGACTTGCAGTGGAGCAATAAGAGCAACCTTTTTTAAATCAATCCAATGCTATTTTTCTTCCTGGAAATAAAGAGTTACTTTATCGCTTCTTTGTATCCTTCCGCGCGACTCTATGATTCGATTCGCCTGCGTATATGTATATAACATATGCAGAGCAAATCATTCGTGAGCCTCGACTCGGCGCCGTCGAAAAGATTTTTCGCGAACAATACGCTTCACCTTCCTCTCTCTCCCGATTTTATTTTTCTCCGCCACCAACACCTGTATATATATACGTTCTCTCCTCAATCTTTTTCCCTATTCCTTTGAGAGTCTCCTCAGACTTGCACTCTTGTCTTTCTTTTTCTAACACGCGGCAGATTCTCTATTTCCTCGCATTTATACTCAAGGAGTATCTTTCGGTCCTTCGCGATACCCATCGATTCATCGACGCGAAAACGGCAACAAGAATAAGTCTAGAATAAGTCTGACTCTGTTTTTTTTTTGTTTTTTTTTTTTTTTTGTTATTCAGCTCGATCCACTGATTTTTTCATTACTGTCGGTGGGTACTGATGAACAAGTAGCTCCAAGCTGAAGAGAAAATAACTCGCGCTCGATACTCATCTGCGCGCGCAATTGTAAAACCTCGAGAGGTACGTCCGAGGGATGCGGGCAAAAATTAATCATATACTTACTTGCAGTTTGCGATTATCGAAATGTTTTGTTTCATGGCTAAAGTATTCGAGTGGTTTTTAATTCCACGTGTCCATTGAAAAGGTGTGGGTTATTGAGCCATGTGTATAGGTATACTCCAAGGAGTATTTTACAATCCAACGAACTGAAACAACGTCAAGAATGCAATGCATATTTTTGGTGAATTTCTTATTGATTAATAAAGTCTGAAAAAAATATATGTATTTTGCGTTACCGTTGCCACAACTGTTGTTTACCGTTACAAAAAACGTGCGAATGCTTGTAATTTAATTTTTGTAAATCTTAGTTAAACACGAGGATTCATTGATCATCCAGCAATGAAATTATTTTTTATTTACCAAAAATAAGCGAAATTAACCAGATTTAAACTTGATGTTATTGAAAATGTTTTGCCAGTCACTTTTTTTTGTACAAAAATTATCATAAATAAGTTATAGTAAATTGCACTCGCAAAAAACAAAAAAAAAAGAACGAGCGATCTAACGTGTTTCGAAAGAAAGGAAAAAAAATCATATAAGTGGAGAAAGCTGGGAACGGAGAGCAGTTCCGAGCGTACATGGCCAAGACGACTTTTGATCCCCTTTTTATTTTTTCAGACAAGTTGAAGGCGGAAATAGCGATAAACGTGCACCTCGACACGCTCAAGAGGGTCGAGATTTTTCAAAACACGGAGGCCGGCTTTCTATGCGAGCTCGTGCTGAGGCTGCGCCCGGTACTCTTCTCACCTGGGGACTACATATGCCGGAAAGGTATGAAACACCCACGCGCTGCCGCGAACTTTCGCTCCTTTGTCCGACCACCACTGCAGTCGCGCGCTCGAGTCTACGTGAGCGCGAAAACGTTGGATTATATGTCGAGCGACACTTTGTCACGCTCTTTTTTTTTTTTCCCCTCCTCTGGTACCGTTTTCTTTTACAGATGGCCAACTTCCGGTTTCTTTCTTATTTCCGAAAATACGTTGACCCTCTCGTTTGACAAATGTTTGCAGAATTTGCTTTCAAGTTGTGTTGTTATAAGTACTTTCCTTTGTAAATACGCGTTTAAAGTTTCTTACCAAACATTCCTATATTTTTAAGCTCTTGGATCAATCATTACATTGTGTATTGTTTAATAAAATATTAATTTTAAATCCAATGAAAGTCTGTGGTAATTTTTTTTTAACTGCTTATACATTCCAAAAACTACAGTCTTTCAAAACATCTGAAAACGCTATATTTGAGAATTTTTTCGATTATCTATTTATTGTCACAATAAGTCATTATCTGCTAGTGTCACAAGAGGGAAACGTTTCATGAAAAAAATAGACAAATTGATACGATATCTCTGTCATGTCTGCGTATGGACGTTCATTTTTCTCAACACTACTTATCGGCCACTTTTTTTATCCATTGACAATTTACGTTTAATAAAAATAAATTAGTATATAATCATGTCACTTCTTGAAACTCGTGCATGGCGAATTTATCTCACAAAACATGGATATGCTGTTTATCTTATCTACTTTGTATCTATGAATGATATAATAATTTAATAGGTACCTTTTTAAAAAAATAACTAACAGTGAAACGGAATTTTCAGAAATTTGGAAGAAAATAATAAAAAATCCAATGTTCAATTCACAAGTTTATTATCTTGAATGGGAAATACATGATTGTAATACCACACAAAAATGACCTTAAGTATGGTTACAAAAATTCATGAGTATCAATGATAAATCATTGAAATGATGATTTGAATATTTTATACAGTAGCAAGGGGTTGGACGAAGCCAAAGGTTTCAAACAATCATTTATTAAAATATATTTAAGATTTCCTTTAACAAATTCCAGAGCTTTTGAAAAGACAACATCTTTTTTGTATTCATGCGCGGTCTCCATGACAAATGCAATATTACCCAATGTAATGTTATTCTGCAAATAGTCTAAAAATTTTGGGCACTTAATCAAATCAGCCAAGTTTAATTTCACAAAGTCCCTCGCCTCCTTACGTAATTCCTTCAGCTCATAATTGTCAACAAGCCTTAAAGTCGATATTATACTTTTCTTATTGATATTCGACTCTAAATAACTTGTACAGGCATTTTGTAACTCGGGTATTTCCAAAAAGTGTGCCAATCTAAATAAATCATGGGCAACTATGGCTACGTGGCACGTGTCGCTGTACATATAATTCACCAATTCCCTCACAGCAATCGAATCCCATTCTAGAAGAGTTATCTCGCTAGAACTTTTTTCCGACATGTCAATGTTTAACATAGTTTTAATAACCTCACTACGGGCACTGATGATACATTTATGCACATCAAAGACCTCATCTTGGGCAATAATTTTACAATCCGAATACTCTCCGTTTAAATGCATGCGTTTAATGTCTTTTACAAGCATGCCCATGGCTTCCATTTTAAAAGATAACTGAATAATAGCATTGAATTCTGATCGCTTGAATTGAGCATTGCTGTCAATATCATAAATAACATCGGTGTTCGAAGTAAAGGTATAACCGTTATTATTTTTAAGTAAAAACTCATGATTGTCTCTTGATTTAAGATTTAAATCTAACCACAGTTGTATCTCGGAAATCGAAGATTTTTTTTTCGTTAGAAGTAAAAATTTTACGCTAAATGCGTACGGCATGGATTCAAAGCCACTACGGACGGAGCTGATCATTGTTAACGAACATTTCCCGATATTATTGATTGTTATATCTTCCGATGAATTCCACTTGGTACCTAATAGAGTCCCAGAGCCTATATCTAACGTTTTTTTAAAGTTGCAAGTAAACTCAAACCTTTCGGTAATTGTTAAAGACATTATAATAGACTAACAGCCCAATTTTTTTGAAAACACCGTTGTTGGAACAGAACTGAAAAATTAAATATTATAAGATGGAACTTTTCTCTAATATAATCGGATAAAAATGATCTTTAAGTCTTCTTACGTGTTGAGGAAATTTGATTAAACAAATAATTTTCACTATAAGTTGGCACATACAAATCCTACGAGGTCTCACTGTACTCACACAATAATAAGAACAAACGACTTGTTCAGATGCTTCAAACACTTAAACTACACGAAAACTAACTTGACAATGTAGGCTTGGCTCTATTTTGAACAATTAGTGGTAATCGTTATACTTAGCTCTGTAAAATCATTAACGCCATCTTTTAGAAAATAAGATAAGATAACGCAGCAATCAGCAGTGTTAAAGTGAAAGCATTACAAATACCGCTATCGTTTGTTGTACACGTCTACCCCGAATAGCACTGGGCTTTCATATCCTCAGAACCTACCACAATCACAGAACTCGTAAAATAATTACTTGCAACAACAATTTCATGTAAAATTAACATGATCTTTCCGGATTTGATTTAAGCCTTAGGTATCCACATGACTGGATATCAAATTTTGTCATGAAGACAGTAGAAAACTAATTATCATTATATTTTTAAATAAAAATATTAGACAGAAAGTGGAATAATATTCCTTACTTTTTAAATATAATATTGGATCATAATCATACAGGTCAACCCAGAATAATACTGGAATCTAAGCATTCGAATTTTTTTGGTTTAGCGATTTCAGGACAGTATACGTATGAAATTGATAACTTATGAGGTGTCAATTAACGTGATGTATTGTATGAATGCTATAGTTTTTGTTTAACAATCCTTGACAATGTATTCTTATTATTTTTATCTATTTGTCCTTATTCACACAGGTTAATGTACAATGTCAACTCCTCCTGACAGTAACAATACTAGTTTAATGTAGGAGGTGAAAAAACAACATTAATATAGCAGAAATAGGAGAACAATTTTTTATTATTTTTATTCCGTTCTCCACCATACCGGTTATTTGCTTAAAAATGCATTATATGAATACTAAAACTTTTTCTTAACACGAGGAAACTTTTTCATCATCGACTTACCTAAAAGTTACAGTCAATACTTATGCAATAATCCACTATTACATTGAAATATTTATTTGTGTACATCCATGAATAATAGCGACCTGAGAAACTTCGAGAAGTTCAACGAAATTTAGTTCAGCGTAGTACTACTTAACTCTCTACTATCTAGAAATACATATGTTATGTACATTAATTATTATACAGTAATGTATATCCTTACCGGCGTAAACTTATCATTGCATAGTCATCAAAATCTCCAATTTTCTCTAAGTACTACGGATACCTTGATGATAAAAAAATTTAATTGAAATATTCCTAGCCCTGCCATGTTTGTTAACCTCTTGTTTTATTTTTTCTGTCCTTTTACAAGATCAAAGTATACGATCACTTAAAAAAATTTTGTTTACAACAAGAGTAGGAAACGACTAATAAATTTTTCATAAATATATTAACTAAACAATTCGGTATTGAATATAAAAACAACGTACCAGCGGATTGCCGTAACATTTTACACGATGTATCTTTAATAAAAATACCTAAATAGTTTATTTCTTAACAGCTGAAGTATTTAATACTAAATTATACAGATGTACCCACTATTTAATCACCTATGGATGTATAGGGTAAGCGTAAACGGATAAAAAAGTTTTAAATTATCAAAATATACTAAAAAAACAAGGCACACAGTTGAAAAATACTCAAGTTTACTGTTCATACATGATAATACTTAATCATGTAAATTGAGTTTACACTTTCAGCCATTACTAGGCCTGGCATCGTTTCGTCCACCCCTTCTCCCTCTCTCGTTAATTACACCCGAGCAAATCGATATGCACCCAACTAATAACGAGGTAGCGATATCGAAACTTGTGATCATTCCCGTCCTTCTCCCTACTTCGGCGAATCAAGCCGATATTAACTTGTGCAAGCATAGTCGGATACATACATGAGGAAATCCACAAAAAATGCCCCGTTTTTGTCCCCCGTTTCAATAAAAATAAGTTTTGAGGCACACCTTTGAGATAGGGCTCGTTTTACTCATAATAACAGATACTAAGAAAAAAAAGTTTGTAACAAGGTTTTCAGTGAGGGTGACATCCTTTTTCCGCGATTTATATGTTAAAATTAGTACCGTACATATCATCCATATACATGATTTTATTAAAATGGGGGACAAAAACGGGTTATTATTTATAGATTTCCTCACACATGTCTACAACTGCTCAATTACTAAGTAAGTCGATTTTTGGGAAATACGATCCCATAAAGATTGTAATAAATATGGTATAAGCTATATAATTGCATTATTTTTGCAGGTGAGGTCGGCAAGGAGATGTACATAGTGAATCGTGGTAGACTACAGGTGGTGGCGGACAACGGGAAAACGGTGCTGGCCACCTTAAAGGCCGGCTCGTACTTCGGCGAGATCAGCATTCTCAATATGGGGACCGCAGGTAAAGAGTGCGGTAAATATTCCAAGCGAACCAGAACTCCATTTAAGAGAAAGAAAGAGCGAGAGAGAGAGAGAGAGAAAAAAAGAGAGATAATCGAAAGCTGGCGTATCCCCCTCTCGTGTACTGTCTGTGCCAATACCCAGACAGACAATTACTGTTGCGTAAATATGATGTGAGCCCCCGTAATTCCGGTATGAGCTGACCACCTCGCACCTATATCTATCTTTATCTGTTAACTTTTATTTTTACTTACTCTCTTTTGTACTTAATCGGCTGTCTATACTTTATTGTTATCGAAATACCCCAAATTATGTTGTAATCCATTGTTACATTATATAGTTGGTTATGTCGATCTTTGCTTATATTTTCTTTCAAATGTTTGTTGTTTTATTAACTTTATCTAGCTTTTACGAGCTTTATTTTTAATTTTATATAAATTGTAATTGGTATGATGAAAAATATATTCATTTTTGCCTGTTTCAATAGTCAAGTTTACATTTACATGCATCACTGCATCTATTTTGATGCAAATATATGTTTGTGATATGATCAATATACGACTTTTATTATTTTCATTACTTTGTTAGTCTTTCTTTCGGATGCTTATCATATAAAAATTTGAGTAATGCGTTTCCGTAGTGCAGTACTCACTTTCTTTTGTTTTACTAATTGTGACCTCTAAAGCAAAAATTCTGTAATTTTTCAATTTTTCACTGACATCCCTCTGTTGTATCTGCTTTATAGATTTTACGAAAAATACATTTTTATACTCTTTTATAAATTTTCATATATGCACCGAATGATATAAAAGAATCACTAAATCGTATGTCAGTAACCCCTTTTTGCATGAAATTAAATTACTCATAAAATTCTTATATAATTGAAGCTTACAGTAACCACAAAGTATTTATAGAAACCAAATTTTAATACATAAATTTATTGCATGAGATACTAAATTTATTCTAGTAACATTTTCTGCTTTTTTATATATTGATATGAAAAATAAAATTGTATACAAATAGAAATAATATCTTCCAATCATCGAATACAACTGCGTTTAAGAGATGGTCAATCTTTATTGAAGGCATTCGAAAGAAACCAAAGTAAGCACGCGTTGAGCTCAGTTTTATAAATAATATTTTTAATTTTTGTCTCTTCATTTGAAGAATAAGTACAAAGCATTAGTAAAACTGAAATATTGTTGTATTCAATTAGCGGTTTTATGAGATTTTTAATTTATTGGAATCATTCGGTGAATCGATTGTTTTGGCCAAATAAAACATTCAATTAACGAATTTTAAAACTTTTACATAAATTATATGAGTTCATGCACATTGAACGAGTATGAATATTGAACTTATTTATTTATACCACGTAAAATTAATATTTGCATTCAGCGTCTATAGATGCAATATTCATCACTTTGAATTTGCTTTTGTATAATTTGATTACTGTCCTTTAATCAAAGGATATTAATTAAAGGATCAGTTTATAAAATACAGATAAAAAAAAGCAATACATTGATTTTTGATTAAATTTTACGGTTGATTTTTGTTA